GAGGGTTTGGCTCCCCAGTGAGGCCCCACAGCCAAACCCTCGGTGAGGGCCATATCAGCCCCAGGAGGGGTCACCAGAAGTGTCCCTGAGCTCGGTGTCCTCCTCTCTTTGGGCTCCGGGCACTCCCAGGGGTGTCTGCAGCCTGTCTGCATGGGCACAGTGACTGCAAATGCTTTGAAAGCATCGGACTTGTGACTTGGCATGTGGCTGTGAATTACAGTGTGCTCCAAGGACACATGTGAAAACGCTTATTTTTCTGGTGTGCTGTGATTTTAATAGTGTTAAGTTCAATTTTTTTTGTGAACACCAGTGAAATCTGACTGCAACATCTGCAGCGACCATGCTACCTTTCATTTTCACTCAGGTTATGTAGCTGCTTTGATTAAAGACTAAAAAGTCTTCTTATTTGTCTATAATTTTAATGAACAAAAATATATTTGGGTTTGATGTTGCAACTATTTTTAGTGGCAGCAGAAGTGTGGCCCCAGCGTTGCTGGCGCTGCACCGAGCAGCTCATGTTGGAGCCGCCCCAGTAACATTATGAAACACTCCTGCTGCCTTTTGTGTTGTTAATTCATGTTTCCAGGAGATTCTTCCGGCACTGATATGTCTTTAAAAATAGCTAATAAAAGGTTTGCAAAATATATAAAATTTAAAACCTTGAGAGGAACCAGGCGGACCAAATGAGAATCAAAATAAGTGAATAAATGAGTGAGGCTTAGGCTTCAAAGACAAAGGGGACACGTAGTGATGTGGTGACAGAATAAAGGGGAATGGCTTTAGGCTGAGGGAGGGTAGATAGAGATTTAAATATCAGAAGAAAATCCTCCCTATGAGGGTGGGGAGCCCTGGCACAGGGTGCTCAGAGCAGCTGTGGCTGCCCCTGGATCTCTGGCAGTGGCCAGGGCCAGGCTGGACATTGGGGCTGGAGCAGCCTGGGACAGTGGGAGTGGATGAGCTTTCGGGTCTCTTCCAGCCTGAGCCATTCCTTGACTCTGTGATTTTGTGATTCCATCGTGGTTTGGGGTCAGTGTCTGCAGGTGGCACTGACCAGGGTCACACCCGAGAATTCCAGAGCCACAGGCTGACATGAGCAGTGTGTGAGCCCCAGATTCTGTGATTTTGTGATTCCATCATGGTTTGGGGTCTGTGTCTGCAGGTGGCACTAACCAGGGTCACACCTGAGAATTCCAGAGCCACAGGCTGACATGAGCAGGCACGGGCAGCATGTGAGCCCCAGATTTAACACCTGAGCTGACAGAGCGGTTATCTCTGCTTTCACAGAATCACAGAATCATTCATGTTTGAAAAGATCATCAAATCCAACCACGAGAGCTTCCTTGAGCCCTGGCCCAAGTGGGCAAAGGCAGTTTGTGACCATGGCACAGGTGGCACTGCACATGGACCCGGGGATCCTTGTTTCTAAAGTTTAATGTACACCATTTGGAAAGCAACGACCAGCCTGTGGCAAGAGG